TCTTGACTTGCCCTCTATCGGGCGCGTCAAGAAAAGTCATGCTTCTCCGCCTCATAAAGTAATATACTATTATTTGCGCGTTTTGTGACGGAAATGGCAGGGCTGTCAGCAGAGAAAATTAAAGATGATTTCGAGAACACATTCCCCTGTCGTCGTTCGTACAGTAAAGAACTACTTACTGTCAACGAAGAAAAGAGGTCCGTGTTTGTGCCAAATAGACAGAATCAAACCTATCCTTGTAAATTAAACAGGTATTTTGAGCATTGTACTTTTTTGTAATACTATTTTGAATTTTAGTTTGATAAAAATAATTTTTTTATTCATTTTTTGTAACCAAAAATTTTACATTTCTGACTAATTCTTTATGAAGGTGGAGGGGGGGTTACCCCTCTGATCCCAATGTAAATAAAAAATTAAATTCAACTGTCACTATGTATTCTGAAAAAAATATTGGCCCATTTTTGTGTTTATTGAGTCAACAAATATAAATAATATTAGAGTTAGTTCTTTCAATAATATAAAAATTTCGAGAGATATTTTTAATTTAAAATTAAATAATATTAACACGTTCGCTGTCGACTATATTTTGTAAATTAATGCCTCCGTGAGCCAGCATTCTTTTTTTTAAGTGCTACTATGAGCCACAATATAACAAATGTGTTGGTCCCATCGAGACAACTCGGCCCAGTGACCCGTACTAATGCTTCTGTGCGCCGTTGGTCCGTCGCAGTAAACATAACCTAACATAAATAAACGAATTTGCATTGCCTATTGTTCTTGTTGATTGTTTTTCATTTCAATAAATTGAAAGAATAAATTGCTGTAAGTATTAAATAATGTTTAACTTACAATATTTTTACAACATATTGTGTAATTTTAGATGTCTCGACGTTCTAAACCTCTGACAGAGCGTGAATTGCAAAACATTGCAATCAATTTTGGAGAACTCTCTGATGACGATGATGAACCATTCGAAGCTTCTGATAGTGAGTACCTGTGTAGTTCAGAAGAAGAACCAGATTCGCCAGATTCAGAAGAAACGGTGGAAAATGTACGAAAGTTTTTACAGAGAAAAAAAATAAAATTAGATTCACAACCTACTCGTCATGTTCACGATAATATCAATCCAGGACCGAACTTGAATTCAATGCATGATCCAGAACAAGCTAATCATAATCTTCAAGGTAATATCGTTCCGGGACCGAACTTAAATTCAATACTCGATCCAGAACCGAACTTAGATCCACACCGTAGTGAAGATCCAGTACCGAATATAGAACCAAATTGGGGTCCAGTAGTAGGTAATTATAAGCTAATAGCACCTTTTTCTATTCCGTCGGGAGTAAATGATGAAGTAGCTGCAATGTTGGCAAATGGTACGCCTGGAGACTTTTTTGATGCTGTGGTCGATGACAGACTAATTAGTCTGATTTGTAACCAAACAAATATATATGCAACTCAGTCTGTACTGACTGCAGACGCAACACCAAGCTCTCGCTTACATGACTGGATTCCAACGACACATATTGAAATTAGAAAATTTTTAGGACTGGTTGCCTGGATGGGTTTAGTGAAAATGCCAAAAATCGCAGACTATTGGAGTAACGATAACCTATTCTACAATAATTTTGCAAAGAATGTAATGTCTAGAAATCGATTCGAGATGCTGTTTAGGATGTTTCACTTTAATGATAATTTATTGACAGATACAAGTGATAAACTGTATAAGTTAAAGCCACTTGTCGACATTCTGACTGCAAATTTTAAGTCTTTATACGTGCCGGAAGAATATGTCTGCATCGATGAAACCCTATTACCCTTTAGGGGACGCTTGGGGTTTAAACAGTACATTAAGACAAAAAGACACAAATATGGTGTAAAAATTTTTAAAGTATGTTCTGGATCTGATATACTTACAATTTCAAAGTATATGCAGGGAAAGAAAATAGTTCTAACATCACTCCAGAAAGCGTTGTTCTGTATCTTATGGAGGATTTAGTACATCAAGGAAGAACTCTGATAACCGATAATTGGTATACAAGTTTACCGCTAGCAAAAAAAATGTTGTCCGTCGATACACACCTGATAGGAACTGTTCAAAAAAATCGAAAATATTTACCCCAAGAAGTAGTAGCTGCAAAATTAAATAAAGGGCAGATTGCTTCTATGTAAAGTGATGATGGAGTGACCATTACGAACTGGAAAGACAAAAGAAATATTTACATGCTTTCTACTAAACATGGCAATGAAATGGTCGAAGTATCTTGTAATCGACAAACTAAACTGAAACCCAAGGTGGTAATAGATTACAATAAAGGCAAAGCGGCAGTAGACTTATCTGACCAAATGGGAGCGTATTCCAACCCCCTAAGGACAAGCGTAAAATGGTTTAAAAAAAGTGGGGTTTGAATTATTATTAACTATATCAGTTATAAATTATTTTTTAATATATAAGCTTGTAACAAATAATAACATGTCGGTGACAGATTTTAAAAAACCCAAATAATCACCATCAGCTTGAACAGAAGGCAGACGGAAGTAAACATCAACGAAGGAAGATTTGCAAGAACTGCTACAAAAAAAAATAGTGAGCAACACGGCCGTCAGTATGCTATGAACAAAACTAAAAAGGTAGACACCTTTTGCAAAAGCTGTGACAAGGAACCTTTTCTGTGTATAGGTTGTTTTAATGAATTACATAGAATTTAAATAACTTTTTTTATTGGTTGTTTTACATTATTTGATTTTTCTGTTGTTGAAAAACATGTTTGTATCAATAAATATCATCCCAAAGTTGTAAATAACGTTTTTGACTTATATGGGACCACATTTGTCATACTCCATAAATCGCACAAATTCTCTATACAGCACATAGCTTGTAGGCCTCGTTGGTCCATTCCCATGGTGATTTAATACTAAATAAACACCAATGGCTCGGTACATATCGGAATAAATGTTGGTCCCATAGGGCCAACATGGCCTGTTAATGCAATACTTGCGTTGGTCCCATTGGACCAACGTGGCCTATTGAAGCAACATCAGTGATGGTCCCATCGGACCAACATGGCAGCGAACGTGTTAATAAAATAAGAAGCGAAGGTTCAAACATAATTTCTGTAGAGTTTAATAATTATCTATCTGCAAATACATTCCTAAATAACAAAAATTTATTAGATCAAGGTTACAAAATTTATATACCTTGAAGTATAATCTCGTAAAGGTATTGTACGTCAAATAGATGTTAAAATAAATGCAAATAAACTCAGGTAGAAGAAGCACAGGAAGTTGGAGATGGATTAAAAGTATGAAAAATAATAAGAAAAAAGACGTTATATCACATGGAAGACAACACGATAGGTATACGTATAAATTCATCACCATTAGAAATAAGTAAATCAGAGATGGAAGAAATAAACCAAATCGGACAAACTCCAGGAACAGTTAAGAAAACTCTTTCAAGACTGCTTGAATGGGGCCGAATTACCAAAAGAATGGAAATTATCTATCATGTCAACTATCCACAAAAAGGGCAGCAAGGATCAATGTGAAAATTACAGAGGAATTGCGGTAAACAGCACAATAAGTAGGATGTATGGGAAACTTATTAAGAACAAAATAGAAAATGACTATAGAGATTACGAAGCAGAGGAGCAAGCTGGTTTTAGAGCTGGGCGATCCACAGTAGACCACTGTACTCTATTACGCAAGTTATTGAGAAAAAAACAGCCATCAATAAAGAAGTTCACCTGGTGTACGTAGACTTACAAAAAGCATATGACAGTGTACCCCTCAGTAAACTATGGTCAACCCTACAGCAAACCAACATTAAGCATGGTCTTATCAAAGCAGTCCAAAGTCTGTATAATGGAACGACTGCAAAAATTAAAACTGGATCAAGGATATCTGAGGGATTTAAGGTCACGAAAGGACTAAAGCAGGGTTGCTGTATTTCGCCTACCCTTTTCAAAATTTATCTGGAACAAGCACTCAAGCTGTGGAAAAGAAAATGTAATGGCATGGGAATCCCTCTCAATGACGAGACTACACTGTACACCTTATGTTTCGCTGATGACCAAATACTGATTGCTCAGGATCATGACGACTTGAGTTACATGACTCGGAAGCTAATAGAAGAATATAACAAATGGGGTCTCGAAGTCAACATTAAGAAAACTGAAGCCATGTGTATTGGAGGGACAAAACAGTCCATTATATTAGACGATGGGGTAGAAATTAGACACTGTGATGAATACAAGTACCTGGTATGAAGATAACTCAAGATGGAACACTCGATGCTGCTATAAAAGACAGAAACATACAGGGTAGAAAAGCCATATCCATGATGAACGGCATTCTGTGGGACCAAACAATATCTAAAGCGAACAAACAACTCATATACAACACCATACTTAAAAGTGTAATCACATATGGCAGTGAAGTTTGGCCAATGAAACAAAGAACAGAGAAACTGTTACTAGCAACAGAAATGGACTTCTGGAGAAGAGCAGCAGGCAAATCAAGAAGAGATCGGATACCAAATGAGAGAATACGAGAAATGATGGAAGTCAAGCATACAATAGTTGATGACATAAAAACAAAACAGTTAATATGGTACGGCCATGTACAGAGAATGCCAGATGACAGGATTCCAAAACAGATTTTGACGTGGACACCACAAGGGAGAAGGAAAAGAGGAAGGCCGAGAAGAAGCTGGAGAGAGGGAATTGAAAAAGAACTAGAGGAAAGAGAAATCCCTCCAGGCCTATGGTTAAATAGAGAAGAATGGCGGTTAGGAGTCGGAAGGCGTCGGAGAACGCTGTAAACTGATAGTAGTAGTAGTAACTGTACTGATTAAAACTGTATGTGGAATATATTTGAAATCGTAAATAGGAAAGAACTTACAGATTTTTTGGAAAAGAAAAATAAATTTTTAGCTACATACTCCTATAAGTAAGTTAAAAAGGTTGAACTAACAAGGAAACAAAATTACAAATACTTACCTCACTAGGTTGCACTTTGTCATTACTTATGCTCGATCCCATATCTGCGAAATAATCAGTTCCTTAATAAACGTCGAAAAACATGTTAATTTTTTTTATAAAAACTATGTCCATATAAAAATCAGTCACTAAGATTATGGTAAATTTTAAGGAAACTATACTATGTATATTTACGTATTTCAAAAATTCATTCTAACATTACTAAAACTTCAGTGGTTTCAGGACGATAAGCTAACTAAGATAACCAGTTGTCGTTGTCGAGACCTCATCCTTATTACAGGAAATGAGAAATAGATATACTCGTAGAGAGAATTATTTCCAGTTCATGCATATAAACCAGTTAATACAGGACATAAATGTATTCTGCATATTATAATATAATAATATATAATAATATATTATTAAATTCAATTCAATTATTGAATTAAAAATCAAAATCAAAATATAACATAAAAAATCATCATCATTCATCAAAAATAACATACTGTTGTTGCTAAGCTTAATCACATATTTTAAATGGATGCTTTAAAACTATTGGCTTCCACTCGAAGCTACCTGGATCAGATGCTAAAAACAGTAGAAACTCTCTCTAATGATATTATTAAGCACTTCGGTCTTGGCAAGTGCCGGGTCTTAAATATAATCAAAGGAACGGTTCAACACGGCGGATTCGATATGCAAAACGGCCAGAACATGGAGGCCATGGGTGAAAATGATACATGGAGGCCATGGGTAAATACCTCGGAATAAAGCAAGCGCGGAAGATTGACCATAAGCAAATGAAAACCGAGATAACTACTGAGTTTATACGAAGCGTAAAACAGTGGCTTCGTTCACACTTTAATAGTAAAAATTTGTTTAAAGGACTAAACACCTATGCACGTTCCGCGCTTAGCTACTCATTTGGTATTGTTAAGTAAAAACAGATATAGAAAATCTTCAGCGAAAAGTACGAACACACCTCACAAAGGCACAAAGACACCATCCTCGAAGTGCAGAAGAAAAAACGACATTACCGATGTATTTACGAGGACGAGGACTTATGGATATAAGTGAGTAACTAGAAAAGCAGATTACTAATTTAGGAATTTATTTTCAGGTGCAGGCTGAGACATCTACTCTACATCGCACGAAACATTTTCGAAATAATATTAAACAAAAACATTGATAAAACTGTAATAAATTTCACTCCATACTCCAACAGAATTATACTCTTACTGCAGACAAACCAGAGAGCGATATTGAAACTTTCTACGAAGACCTAGACAACATTTTAAAATCCATTAAAACGCAAGATTTAACAATTATAATGGAGACTTTAACGCAAAGGTTGGGGAAGAAAAAGTAGAAGAATGTACAGGAGGATATGGTCTGGGCAACAGAAACGAAAGGGGTGACAGGCTTATCGAATTTTGCCAAAACAATAATTTTGTTATAGCTAATACATTGTTCAAAATGCCAAAGAGAAGACTATATACCTGGAAGTCACCAGCAGATCAAGAAGAGAGAATTGTAAGAAACCAAATAGACTATGTATTAGTTAGACAAAGATACAGGAACGCAATTATATCCGCAAAAACCTATCCAAGTGCCGACATAGGATCAGATCACAACCCAGTAGTGACCAAAATTAGGCTCAAAATGAAAATAATAAAACGAAGAACAACAAATGCAAAAATCGATACAAGTAAATTAAGGAACCCACTCATAAGGCAACGTCTGGCAGATGAAATCAACAACGGATTAATGAATGTTAAAGAACAAATTCTGCAAAATACTGAGACGGAGAAAAAATGGTTATTAATAAAGACAGAAATAGATAAAAGTCAAAAAGAAATTCTAATACAACTACTACTACTAAGGATTTCCACAGTTTTCACTGTCTTCCTTCACTCAACCGTTTTCTCCAATTTTCCCTGTCATTCCAGTCTCCATCTCGCAGGGTTCTTTTCTCCATAGCCTCGTCGATTTCGTCTCTGAATGACCTTCGGGGTCTTCCTCTCTTTCTTCTTCCGATCGGGCTCCATTCTGTGATTTTGTTTATCCAGCGTCCTCTGTCCGCTCTTCTGACGTGGCCGTACCAGGATAGTCTCTTCTCCTCTATATAGTCGATTATGTCTGATTGCACTCCCATTCTCCGCTTAATCTCTGCGTTTTCAATTCTGTCTCTTTTTGTAAGTCTACAGCTTCTCCTCAGGAACTCCATTTCTACTGCTCTTATTCTACCTCTATTTCTCTTGTTTATTGTCCAGTTTTCGGACCCATATGTCAGGATACTTCTTGTCAGGGTATTATATATTCTCTTTTTTGTCTTTATCGTAATGTTCTTATCCCACAGCACTGAATTTAGTTGTCTTATACAGTTTCTTGTTTGTCTTAGTCTGTTGTTTATATCTTCTTCTGTTGTTCCCTGGTTCGATATTATGGTTCCTAAATACTTGAATTTATCTGTTCCATTTACTTGTCTTCCCTCGTCTATCTCTAGGTTTCTCATATCCTTGTTTTCTGTTGTTAGGTATTCGGTTTTCTCTAAGTTTATTTCCATTCCGTTGTTTTTATATTCTTCTTCTAGTTTTCTGAGCATAAAGCTGAGATCTTCTTCATCTTGTGCGATGACTACTTGATCGTCGGCAAAACTTAAGGTGTATAGGTATTCGTCTCTTACTGGTATGCCCATTCCTTCGCACTTTCTCCTCCATGGTTTGAGTGTCTTTTCCAAGAATATTTTAAACAGAGTAGGGGACGTAGCACAGCCTTGTAGAAGTCCTTTTGTCGTCTTAAATGGATTGTAGGCTTTATTTCCACATTTAATAGCTACTTTGTTTTCTTTGTACAGTGCTTTAACTGCTTTTATTAGTGTTTGTCGGATTCCGAGATCATTCATTGCTTCCCATAATTTGACTCTAGGTATTGAGTCGTATGCTTTCTTTAGATCAACAAACGCCAGATGGACCGGTCTACCTTTTGCCATTTTCTTCTCTATCAGTTGTTCTAATGTGTACGTATGATCTAGGCATGATTTTCCTACTGTGAACCCTGCTTGGTCTTCTCCAATTTTTCCTATTATTTCAGTTTCTAGTTTTTCCTTGATAATTTTCCCGTAAAGTCTACCTACCGACGATATTATACTAATTCCTCTGTAGTTTTCACATTTTTTCCTGTTTCCTTTCTTATGTATGGATGTGATGTATGCTTGTGTCCATTCCGCAGGTATTTCCTCTCCATTTAGTCCTCTTTCGAACATTCTGTGTAGCATGCGGAATAACTTTTCCGTTCCGTTTTTAATTAGTTCGTTTGGTATCCCTCCGGGTCCTTTGGCTTTTTTGTTCTTCAATGTCTTGATTGCTCTCTTGACTTCTGTCAGACTTATTTCTATCTGGTCGTATGTCCCATTTCCTGCATGTTCTGTATTCTCTTCCTGAAATTGGGGACGGTTTTCTGTAAGTAGTTCTACGTAGTATTCTTGCCACTCGTTTTCACTAATTTTGCCGATCTGGGTTTTCTCTGTCTTATTTCGTTGGAGTGCTTTTAATATTCGCCATGATTCTGAATTTCTCGTTCCTCCGATATGTCGTTCTATCTCTGTGCATGCTTGTTCCCATCGTTCGTTCTTTTCATTTGTTACTCTTTTCTTTACCTCTCTGTTTTTCGCTCTATATAGGTCTAAGTCTTCCTGTTTTTTGGTGTTTAGGTATTTTATGTGTATAAAATACACATAAATTCTAATACAAACCAGATATAAAAACAAGCAATGGATGACGGAAGAAATTTTAGATTTAATGGAAGAAAGACGTCAATATAAGAACAAAGATAATCAGATGTACAAAAAAGTGGATAAACAAATAAAATACAGAATTAAGAAAGCGAAAGAACAATGGCTAAAAGAACAATGCGCAGAAATAGAAGAATACCAGAAAAGACATGATAGTTTTAACACACATAAAAAAATTAAAGAATTAACTCACAACAATAGAACAAGAAAACCGGGAATACTGAAAGATGCAAATGGGAAACTTGTGTTGAATACTAACGACAAATTAAAGAGATGGACAGAATACATCAATGAACTATTCAAAGACAATAGAACAGAACAGATGGAGATAGAAGTAGAACAGGATATGGTTTTAAAGATATTAAAAGAGGAAATTAAAATGGCATTAAAAAACAGCAAAAATGGTAAAGCATTAGGTCCAGACGAAATCCCTATAGAAATCTTAAAATGCATAAATGATGAAACCTTAGACATTATAGTAGACTTATTTAACTCAGTATACAAAACAGGACACATACCGAAACAATGGTTACTCTCCACCTTTTGTGCTATCCCTAAAAATACAAACGCTAAATATTGCAGTGAATACAGAACAATATCACTAATAAGTCACATTCTCAAATTATTCCTGAAAATAATACATGGTCGTATAAATAAAAAACTGGAAGAAGGAATAGATGATAGTCAGTTTGGGTTCAGAAACGGACTAGGAACCAGAGAAGCGTTATTTGCTTTTAATGTGTTAGCTCAAAGATGCATGGATATGAATGTTGATGTGCATGTTTGTTACGTTGATTTTGAAAAAGCATTTGACAAAGTAAGACATGAAAAATTAGTCCAAATTCTAAAGACAAAAAACATAGACCACAGGGACTTACGAATAATAACAAACCTCTACTGGAATCAAAGAGCACAAATCGTAATAGATAACGAACCCAGTCCAGAAATTGAAATCAGGAGAGGAGTTAGGCAGGGATGTATTATGTCCCCATTACTATTTAATGTATATAGTGAAGCCATTTTTGAAGAAGCATTACTATCTCAAAGTGAAGGAATAATAATTAACGGAAGATCTATTAACAACATAAGATATGCAGATGACACCGTGATTATGGCAAGCTCTGCTGAACAACTCCAATTACTGCTAAACAAAACAAACAGTTTCTGTGAAAAATATGGACTAAAAATGAATATAAAAAAGACCAAATACATGATAATAACAAAGAAAACAAATATACCAACAAACATACATTTGGGAAATGTACCGATA